GTTTGAGATGTCAGACAGAGTATGATGTGTGTTCTTTTGACGTTATGGTATGATGATGGGAAAAGTTGATCCACATATCAAGTGGTTGATTACTAAAAACTGTGGAGCTTTTGTAGGTTATTGAAAAACAGGCTGCAGTACACAGATGTAAAGCATATGTTGACTTGAAAGAGACGGAGTTGCCGCCAAATCCTGCTTGCACAAATGATGAGAGCTTGCACGAGCATGTACAAAGGGTTGGCTCACTCCTCCTTGGTCCTGCCCATGTGAAAGAAGCTAAAAAGGTTATGGCTGGAGAAGACTTCGCCTTCTATCAAGAGGCGATTCCCGGAGTCATGTTTAACATTGGGATTCGGAATGAGAATGCGGGCTCAGTATATTCTCCACACTCTCCGTATTTCTTTCTGGACGAGGACGTCTTGCCAATTGGTGCAGCAATACACACCGCTGTTGCAGAGCTATATTTGAGCGAGCGGTTTTAACCATTCAGTTGTACCGGATAAATTATCGAGTGTGATGAGGGTCTGCGTAATACATGTGCGAGTTGTATTCAATGCCCGGGTCTGCATGTATACATTTCGTCAATTGGAATTTGGACAGAGTTGCTTTGGATATTTTTCCCCTCGCAATTGCAACATCCAAGATCCAAAGGCGTCGAGGGTTGCGGTAAGCCATGTGTTTTGGTTGGCATGCTATAGAATGGAGTAACTTAATTTGGGGGACTAGCACCAAAAAAAAAAGGGCCTGGAAAGTAACGAATTTGTATCTGTCATTATGCATGCAGCAGCGTGCGGGTTAAAAGCGAACGGACTGGATGGTCAATAGTTGCAGGAAACCCGAATGCATCTTAAAAGTGGGGAATGCAAAGGCGTCTTTTTTCATACTCAATTCAGCACCTAAACTTAATTATTCAGATATTAAGTAATGAGTATTCAGACGTGTTTAACAACAAAAAACTGAACATCTGAATTAATTAAATGACATTAAATTTTCTGGGCAAAACTTGCTTCCAAAATTAAGTGATAAATGATTCACTTATTACTGAATGTGATATAAACTTAAATGTATTAGATTTAATACTTAACAATTTAGTAATTTAATGGATTCAGAGTTCAGATTTCAATTTTGTCAAATATACCTTAAAGATTACTTAACTAGACTAGGGATGTAATCGAGCCAAGTCAAACTCGAATATTGCTATACTCGAGCTCGACTGAGTACAAAAAATCGATACTCGAAACTTGACTCGAGGAACTCGCTTTAAACTCGAGACTCGACTCGATAAGACTCGACTTTTAGTCAAGTCTTATCAAGTCGAGCCTAATCAAGTTTTTTGACACACTTTCGTCTTTTCTTCCCTTTTTTAGACATTTTTTCTTTTTAGGTCTTTTTACAATTATGTTATTACTTTTTTGCCATTATGAAATTTTATTATAAAGAAGAGTTTATTATAAATTCCGTAAAACTTATACCTATAATGGTCATTTTATAATTATAATACATATATATTATTTAAATACCCCGACTCGACGAGTAACTCGACAAGTCTCGAGTCTCAAAATATTAGCTCGAAACTCGACTCGAATGACAATCGAATAGCTCGAGACTCGGCTCGAACTTAGTCAATCCGAGTTCAAGCCAAACCGTTGACCGAGCTACTCGCGAGCTACTCGATTATGACTCGGCTTGGGTACATCCCTAAACTAGACGAAGTAATAATAGTAGTGTCTAGTGGTGCTCTTTTCTTGGGTGGTTGAATTGACCCGTTTCCTTCGTTTGATTTTTTATTTTTTGGGTGGAAATAGGAATTAAACATTAATTAAGCAGAGTTTCGCCCTATCTATTACGGTGCAAAAGAGATAGTACAGAGAAAGCAAATCCCTTTCAAGTCCTCGTCACAGACGAAAGCGTTTCCTTTGTTTGATGACATCTAGCTAGCTAAGCCTAAGACAATCATTCAATACCTTGGGATGGATCGAGCTGTGGGTTTCTACTTTCTACCTCAGGATTGTTGCCCGGCCATGCATGCTGACTCATTTCCACGCCGAACCACCTAAGAAAGATGTTGGACTTTGCCCAGTTTTGCATTGCTACAGACAAAGTTGCATCTTTTGATCGATGCAACTAATACATCTGAAGACTGAAGTTGCTTCGTCAAAATCAGCCAAGTGTTACCGATCGAAAATGAGTGATGAGTCCGGTCATGAGTTAATTACCAACCCGCTTCAACCCAACCTAATTTTACTGGTTCTGTCGTACATATTTATTTGTGTGGTAATCTGTCTCAGAGCCGGTCACATTATTATTAATGCATAAGTAGACACCTCCAAACAAAGCTGCCTGGTCACAATATTGTGGGATTTTTACTACGACTTCTCAATTGTACAAGTGCTTCATTTTAAGTAGATGTTCGCTAGTGTTTAATTAGCCAGTTCTTGATAGCTACTGCCGTTGTTGAATGACAGAATATAGATATTGATGCAAATAGAGGGAGAGGAGAGATACATTTTGGGCAAAGAAGGTGACTGGGATATCTTTGCAGGGAAGTAGATGTATGGGTCATTTCTCAGCAGTGTGTGGTCTTGATAATATTACTAAATGACTAATGAGGTGTAAGCTAGCTAACCGAGGAAGGAGAAGGACAAGAATAATCATTTTATTTTGGGACAATTGTGCCATATTTGTAGAACATAAAAACTGCACCAAGAACTTGTTAATGTAAAAAAGAAATAATACTACATGATTTGGAGTCGAATTTCTCATAATAATGTTAAGACGAGAAAATATCACAAAAGTGGTGTTGGATTCTAATTTAAAGGGTCGTCACAACTGGTAAAAGGGACTTCATTAAAAAAATTATTTTAAATTTCTTTTTTTTTTACCGAGAAAGTAAAAGGAGGGATTTTTTTTAGCACAAGACAATCAAATGAAAAAAAAAAAAAAGAAAAAAAACCCATGTGACACCAACTTTTGAGCATATGTATCCTTCTTTACACACACCGAGCATCAGCTGATATCAAATATGTCACCGAGGATCCCAAGTGTTCTTTACAGGCAAATCATTAGAAGAACTCTTAGCATCCGCAACTTTCTTTTTTTTTTTTTTTGGGACAATCCGTTTATATTCATTTACCCTGAGTGACCTATCTCCGTCCGGGGTTGGCTGCGATGATTAAAGGCAAGAACAGATTTTATCGTCCTTTTGGCCGGCTGATCCGCACAGAAAGTCGACAAGGTGTGCTTTTCAACGGAGGGCATGGAATGAAGAAAAGGAAAGTGGAAACCTTTCTCCTTTCCCCCGCTTCAAGTTGGGAGATGGACTCGCCTCGGTGTTATTTGGGAAAGCAAAAGTTGCTCCAACAGCCCCTGTGGTTAAGTTATTAGGTCTTTCACCCTGCACTTTGTAAGTGCAGCTATAGGAGTTAAGATTATTAGTTATGTTGCCGTTTTCACCCCCCAAAAAAAATGGGGGAAAAAATGCATGTATGTTTTTGTGATACAAATCCATTTCTTATTTCCTTAGTGTTTTGGAAACCAATCATTATGTCATGTAGAATATTTGTACTATATCTAATCTATATATTATATATTTGAAGACGATTTTTCAATCTGGCCCTTCCATTGAACCTCTAACTCCTCATTTTGTTTTTCTAGAATTTTGAATTACTTTATTCATAATAAATTCTTTTCAGCATTTTATTAAATACTACCATAATTGCATATGAGAAAAAATAAATATGATCCAGGTAAGATACTTCTTTTTTAGAGGTAAAAGTAAATATTGATCAGGTCATTTATTTTACTATAAATAAGATCTAACTTTTTGCTCCTAATAAAATGATCATGCATGAGTCACATGATGTATTCAAGGTAAAAAATGATTGAAAAATCTACGTGAGAACCAAATTTTATCCATTCAATTTTGTAAAGGGCACAAATTTTCTATTCTGAAAGTGAACGGCGAAAAAATTTATTTGGCAAAACGCGAGAAATGTTTTAAATGACTTCCCAACTACATAATTGGTGGCTGAAAAATGCAGGGTACTTGACCTTGAAATGGATTTCCTAAAATTTGATAGGTCAGCAAAAGAACCACATAGGTAGTAACTATAAAATGTCTATCCTGGCCTTAGAATGGGATAATATTCACCTCCTTTTAAACTTTTTTTATTTTGGGAAAAGAAAATAAGTAAGTGTTGCTTAGGTAGGTGAGTCTGACTGGGCCTAGAGTGACCAGCATAACAGGACGCACGATGCGTGCTTCTAACTCGATTCTGAATTCTCTGCCTATAAATTTGCGCAGCATTCCCCTCTGGAATCTCCCTGATCTCCTTCTTCCTCCAGCCGCTCATACATTCGATACCCCCAAAAAATAATAAAATAAACTACTGCTTTGTATTTCTCGGTTTGATTAAAGAGGCCGGCCTCTCTCTCTGTCTCTCTCTCCTTCTTCCCCCCGCCCCTTGCTTGCTTAGTGGCCCTGCCATCGCAGACTGTGCTTTTTGTAGAGTAATAATCCCACCGCCCCTCGCTTTACATTTATGCGGAATAGCATAATTTCCCATTTAAATGCCCTTGATTCTCTTCGTTGATATCCTCTCTTTCACTACTTCCCTCCTCATCCGGATTTCTGCTGCTGCTGCTGGAGAATTTTGAGCCTTCCTATAAAGTTGGGTCCTTTCTTCTCCATAATCTATTGACGACAGAGAGCCGCCAATGGGTGAAGAAGAAGCTAAACAGCAGGTTAGTTTGGTGGTTTGCAGCAGAAACGTATGCCGCATTAATACTATAACTATTGTTTTTGGCTTACCGCAGTATTTTCGGTTAACATACGATCTCATTTGCTTAATTAACTTTCAGCCGGAAGAGGCCAAGGCAGAGGAAAAGAAAGAAGAGAAAACAGAGGAGAATAAAGAAGACAAGGCAGAGGAGAAAACAGATGAAGCCGATAAGCCCCCCACACCATTTGTTTTGTCGGTGGACCTGCATTGCATGGGATGTGCAAAGAAGATTGAGCGGTCCATTTTAAAGATTAGAGGTATAGGACATATATATATGTATGTATTATGTATATGTACATATTACCCTGGTTTGGTTAATATACTAGCAGGGTTTTCTTTTTTTAAAAAAAAAAAAAAACTTTTGACGATAAATTTGGTGGGGCATTTGACGATCACAGGCGTTGAGGGGGTTGTAATCGACATGTCGCAAAACCAAGTGACTATAAAAGGTGTAGTGGAGCCCCAAGCTGTATGCACCACCATTGAGAAGAAAGCCAAAAGAAGAGCCCAAGTGTTGTCGCCGCTACCCGCAGCTGAGGGGGAGCCGATGCCCCAGGTTGTTGCCTCGCAGGTTTGCTTTTTCCTGTATCAATACTGCCATGTAGTACTATTTAAGTTCAGCATAAAAATGGGGTATTAAGTCTGTATCAAGAATAATCTTGTTGGTTAACTGGTTTACCAAAAATGATCCATCGTCATCGTCATCGTCATCGTCATCGTCCTCATCCAGGTTAGCGGATTGACCACCGTGGAGCTGAATGTGAACATGCATTGTGAGGCTTGCGCTGGCCAACTCAAGAGAAAGATTCTCAAAATGAAAGGTACTTCACTTGCCTGCCTGCATTTTGGTGTTCGAGCCCAAATTTACCACATTTTCTGGTCCTTCATTATCAGAACCGGAGAAGAGATCACAGAACAAAAGCTAGTAGTAGTAAAAAAAGTTGGCATAACAAAGGTAGTAGTAGTATTTCTAAGTATTAAATATTATTAGTACTAAATTCCTCCGCTTAAAAGTACTGAAAAAGTTGTTTCCCTGGATGGGCTCATAATATGTTAGAATATTGATCGAGGAAAAAAGTATCCAGGAGCTAAACAAAAAGAAAATCCAGAGTTGAGTTTGATATACAACAATTAATAATTCTCTGAAAAGTTGGGTATTTCAAATCAACAAAAGCGTTTTAATATTATTGATGAGTTCAAATATGAACAAGTATCAATCAACCTCTAAGGAGTATTATGGCAAGGAGTTTTTCAAAGAATTTGAAAATAATTCTCAACGAATTGAAGCCCTACTGACTGCAGATTCTTTCAGGGAAAAAAATAAAAAAGGAAAAAAATATTCACTACACTAGTCTGATTGGGGCCACTAACTGAAACAGGAGTACGCACGGCGGAGACGGAGCTAAGCTCCGGGAAAGTCACGGTGACAGGCAGCATGGACGCAAACAGGCTGGTTGAGTACGTTTACAGACGCACCAAAAAGCAAGCCAAAGTTGTTCCTCAACCCGAGCCTGCAGAGAAGCCAAAAGAGGAAGCATTAGCAAAGCCCTCGGAAGAGCCTATTAAGGAAGAGAAGCCACCCGCTGCAGAAGGAGAAGAAGCAAAAGCACCCCAAGAAGGAAAAAATCCGGAAGAAGCAGCCGAGAAGAAGGGCGACGCGCCGGCGCCCCCACAAGAAGAAGAAGAAAAGAAAGAAGGCGGTGGCGGTGGGAATGAGACGGTGATGATGATGAGTAACGTCGATGAGCTAAGCAAGCAAAAAATGATGTATTATTATCAGCCACTTTACGTCATGGAAAGGATCCCACCGCCTCAGCTCTTCTCCGATGAAAACCCCAATGCCTGTTGCATTACATAGTTTTTTGTTTTTTTCATCAAAAAAAAAAAAAGAAACTCAGCGTTTATTAATGACCACATCATGCAATATCAAATAAGTTAAAGGCACACGTACATTCAACCACAGAGATTTGGTTTTTTCTAATACCAGATCCGGTATTTGGTGAAATGGTCCAGCATTTTTGTTAGTACTGGATTTTGTGTGTACAAACTCTTTTCCTTAATTTGTGTGCAGACTTAATTAGCTTCTATGTCCTTTTAGTTGGAAGCGCTTTTTTTTTCTTTTTTTTTTCGAAGGGAAAAAGCACGTGTGTGTATGTATATATATATATATATTCCAAGTCAATTAACAAGAGGTACGGTATTGAACTTTAAATAATAATAATTTAAAAAAAAATCAGAGGCATGCATGAATGAAGGATTGAGCGCGCAGCAGCGACTGAAAAAGAAATTAGTAGTGTAACGTAGGAGCAATTTGATTGAGGAAGAATTTATTATTAATTAAATTAATATATATTCATGGGGAAGGTTAGGTAGATAATGAATCAGCGGGTTCAGAACACAGAAGGATGGGTTCCAAATTCCAATCCACGTGGTAGGACTGACTGAGCGAGGGACATTCATTTGTTTTTTTTTTTTTTTTTTTTTTTTTTTTTTTTTGTCAATTGTCAACTCTACTCCTACTCCTATTCTATCTACGGGGAGGCTCAACTGAGCCTATGGAGACCGATGGGGACAGAACCACCATCGGACCAAATGGGTGCATGACGCACCCGTCTGGATTTGAAGCAAGCCACAAGAATGGCATATTGGTGGGAGGCAAGGTTTGAACCCTTGCCTCCCACCCCACCAAGCCCTTGGTGGTGGCCACCAGCCCAAGGGCTTGGTGGTTAGGGACATTCATTTGTTCATGGTAGTATTTATTTAGGTATGGGAAATGTAGTGAGATCCGAGTCATCCTAGTCCGTCTGAGAGTGACTTCATCGGCGGTGGCGTGGGGCCTCCGATGAGTACTTGGAAGGATATAGCAGTGGTAGCACTTGGGATCCTCGGTACAAGTTTTCTACGTCGTAGCAGTGGTAGCAGTGGTAGTAGTGCATATGCGATGATGCCGGATATCCGACAGATTATTAACGCAGGCGTGTCATTTTTGTCGCATAGGGAGTAACTGACGCGGACTACTCTTACTTAACTGCTCCTAAACTCAGCGATGCTACTTTAACTACTACTCCAATATCATAATCAAATCATCACAGACACCACCACCACATTTGACTCCTTTTTCTTAAATTAGTGCATCCAATCCATCACTATCAACCCACCAAATCACGGAGCTAATTTGACTTTATTTTTAACTAGTAATTGGTATGGGTAGTAGTAGTATTTTATTTCCAAAAGTGGAAACACACTACCCCAAAAAAAAAAAAAAAAAAAAAAATCGGTACTGATCATTAGGTTCGAGCCAGGGAATCCTTATTTCATTTTGAAAAGAAAAGACAGCACAAAATATAAACATACATGAAAATTTTTCACTAGGCAAAATAATTTGTCGTGTGTGTGTGGTGGTGTAGGCTATGATTTATTGATCGCGTTACACTGCTAAATATCTCACACCGAGTTAAAAAAATTCTAATTTGACTAGGAAAAAACGTTTTTCTCTGTGCTCAGGAATAACAAATAAGTCAGAATTTGCAGAGTTGGTGAACCTTACCTAAAAAGGCACGGGCAAGGAAACGTGAGCCCCAACAAATCAGATCAGATACACGTTATCCGGCCGCCTTAATCTCACATATAATGAATGAAATGGCATCCACGTCAAGTAAATGAAAGATGCATGGTTCGACTTCGATCATCCGAGTCAGCCGCCGACAGACTGGGAGCTGCTTTTTTTTTTTTTTTTTTGGGTAAGAAAGAAGTTACTACCAAAAAAAAAAAGTTGGAGCTGCTGCTACTATGCTACTATGCTACTATGCTGTGCGTCACCATCTTGAATGCACGGCAACTTCTTCATGGTTAAGCAAAGCAAATTTATCGCTTTTCGCTTTTCATCCATGTAAATTTTTGCCTTTCTCCAACCAAGAAAAAAGAAAAAAGAAAAAAAAACACCACCACAGTTCGTAAGGCTTCTTTTTAACCAGTTTTAATTTGAGAGTCCATTCCTGGCAATGCATGCTGGAGATATTTAGCCAGTTATGATGATAATTGGATTAGTGTGAATCACAACAATCAGAATGAAAAATGATTGTAAATATAATCACGCACGCATATGCTTGATCCATGACGGGTATTTAAGTTTACTCCATGGAAGAAGCAGCAAATTTATAAAAATCTGATCCAAAGTAGAAATGCGAAAACAACGGATTAAATGTCAGCTTGATTATATTCCAGCAACGAAGGTTTGTATTAACAAGCAGCTTACTAATATCAGGAAACCAAAATTAAAAAATATCGTAAAGATGAACGAGAAAGCAAAACGGCACAGACTTCATCTTTTTGAAGGAATCTTGGCTTCATGTCTGCTGCTGCCTTTTACCAGAAGTCGCGCATATATATATATATACTTTAGCCTACTGCTGTGTTAGTACGCATATATAATACTAAGTCATTCACAGGCTGTGAGTTAAGCCAGTTGCTATCAACGCAATCACCATATATATATTGGTATATATATTGGTAGAAACTGTGACAGACGGAGCAGATCAATTGGCTTCCTCTGTGGAGAGGATTTTGGTTTTTCCCGACTGATCCGAGGAAATCGGCTGATGGCAAACCTGCAAATAGTGCCAGCGGGGATCACGAATGTTGTTGAGGCCCAATACGTAGAGATGAAGGTGCCTCTTTATTCTTACGGGTGCGAGAAGAAAGTCAAGAAGGCCCTAGCCCATCTCAAAGGTAAAATTAATACTCGCTTCCTCTTCCAACTGAATCTCTCTCTGAACAGGGCACGCGAGGCCCTCAAAAGCGGCCCTATTAATTTGAACTTTGAATGACGCAGATTTGATTGTTGGACATAATTTAGAAAGTGTCCAATCGTGTTATGTTTTTACCAAATATTTTTTGAGTTTTGTGTCAGTGCACGATCGGCGATGGTAAAAAGTCCACCATCGATGTCTCTATGAGGAATCTCCTGTAATTTCCCATTTTGAATTGGAATTTAGAAGAAGATAAATAATTCTAAAGAAATATTAGAAGTGACCTTCTTAACTTCTTTCGGCCTTCCAGCACCAATTTCGAAACTTCGATCCGGAAGATTTTTACAACTCTGGGCCGAGAATTGAATTGGTCTGTGTCTTGGCTTTCATCCAGCTTGGGCTTATCTTTTTTTTTTTTTTTTAAATCAAACTTGGGCCAAGAATTGGATTGAAGAGTAGCCAAGTTTTTTTTTTCTTCTTTTTTTGTCCAAACAAACGTGGCTTTTATATTTTCTTTTCTTAGCAGAAGAGAGGCGAGTTTAATAAACTGCAGAGTAGACAGGAGATTATAATCCAGAATCTCTAGATATTGGAGTTTCTACCTTAATCACTAGATCAAGGGTCTTCTCGTCAATTTAGGCTTAAGTTGAGCACAACCAACTTGACTCTTTTTTTTTTTTTTTGGTTTTAAATTTCATGTTCAATATGGTCTTTCAGTACGTTGTACCAACTTGCATCTGAAGCACAATGACGAGGGTAACTTTTGGTAGTTTTTCTGGAACGCTTTAATTGCACTAGTAGACAACAGTAGTAGTAGTAGTAGAAGAAGCAGGGAGTATCCACTATCCAACCATCTGTTATGGGAATTGGCGAGACAGGTATATACTCGATCATGGTGGATTACCAAGAGCAAAAGGTGACGGTGTGGGGAATATGCAACAAGTACGCTGTGCTGGCAAGCATCAGAAACAAGCGCAAAGGAGCCTATTTTTGGAAACCCGAAGACAGCACCCAACTTCTAGCACTGGAGAAATTACAAACGCCGCCATCCTCGCCCCAATCTGATTCATGTCCAAATCCGAAGCCCACTTCCGCTTCCGCTCCATCTTTGGCCCTCGTCACCAAAGGTTTAGGTCGGTCACTCAGCTGGAAAACTTGGAAGAAGGTCTTCATCAGGTCCTACTCCTTTTAATTGGATTTGAGCATAAGAGATTATCAGAGTCAGACCCTATTATTCATTACTACCAACTTCTACGCGTAAATATCAATTGTTTCTACTTTCGTTTTACTTCAAGATATTGTCCTCTTTTTTTTTTTTTTTTTTTTAAAAGATATTAGTATTGTCCTCTTTTTTTCCCTTGGGTTAACGTGTTGCTTCAAGATATTCCCGGCGGCTGTCTTCAACTGAAATACTGAAACATTGCCAACCATTTTGGTTTTCTGGTCCATTTCTCTATTCTGTAACTGAGTACATGTACAATTGTACATTGTTAGAACAATAAATGCGACTAAGAAGGGCATCACTCGTGAGTTAAAAAGAACCATAACCGGAGGGAGCTTGCCCTTTTGATATCGATACGCGATATGCCAATGACAGGTGTTTACGTCCGACGAACAAACTGTAGCATGCCATCCGATTTGTACGAGTAAAATCAGGAAACTTTGATGAACATGCCGATGAGATCGCGCCAATGAACTTCTGGCCTTGAAAACGATTGCTGTTTGCCCCGCCTTGAATAGTCTTGAGGATTTAAAATTCGTGGCAAGAGTAACCGATTACAACGAATGAATAAAGGAACAAGAGCCGATAACAGAAGTTAGTAAGTAAACTAGAAGGCGATAAACTGCGAAACATGAAGTGAACTAGAAAACTCATGAAGATTGCTTGGAAATAACATTGCTCCGTTTGGATTAGCTGTTTTTTGGGTGTTTTTAAAAAATTTTACTGTCCAGAGTTTTTAAAGTATATTTGAAAATTTTTTATAGTATTTGAAAAACTAATTTTTGGAGGACAGATCTTTCAAACTAAGCGAGCGTGCTGATTTGTACAAAAATTAATATCAATCTGTTAAAAACATGAAATGGGAAAGAAATGATTGCATAAAAATATTGAAATCCTAACAATTAACCTAATATTTCTAAGGAAACTTTGGAAAATCGGAAGTACATACATAGCCTATGACTCCTAAAATGCCATTAAAATGAAAGAAATATCATCATAGTTGCCATACTGTATAAAGAGTGAAAGTGGTGTCTTCAACCTGATGTTTCTTCTTACATTTACAGCGACAAGTTGCCTTCAAAACCAAAAGAACCCACTAATTTCATAGTCCACGTCATTCGACCTAAATCCATCATTGGTCGCGTAACTATCCACTCTTATATTTATTTTAGATAACGTAGTCACCACGCTCCTAATATGTACCGCAGAGATATAAGCTGATGCACGCATCTTTGCTTGGGCCAACAACTACTATCGTATCATCAGCTCTATCCTTATTCGGCGCCTAACCAATTTGTCACGGTTGTCGTACACATCAGCAACCATGTATTTGCACACGTCGGCGAGTACATAAATATCAACTATTGTTACAGATCGATCATCCATGGAACCTTTACGACTCAAATCTATTAACCTTAATCTTCAACTAGCAGCGTGGATTATAAATTTTTCATTGCTGATTTATGAAGATTAGTTAAAAATCAAACCCCCCATGTAATCGATTTTAAATGGAAGCTGCCGACAAACTCCTATCTGCTGATCAGCTATAAATTGTATTTATCGGCATCATATGGCTAATTATCTATCTATCAATAATCCACCAACAAATAGGGCTTTTTTTTTTATCACGTTTCCCTCGCTCCTCTTGTTAAGATCTTAAGCTTGTTTTGTGAATTTTGAAGATGAAATCAATTTTTTCACCATAATAATATTGGTAGTGTTCCGGCTAAACTTCTGCACAGCAGAGGACAGAGCCCATCTTCAGTTCACTAAAGAAGAAGACGGTGTGGTGTATTCTATCAATCTCTCAAGGGTTTAGCATTTAGACTATTAGGCCGAGATTTCACTCTGATTTTGTTTTGGACTTGTGGGTGTTGTCGTTTGTTTTAATGACAGTAGGGTATTAAAAGGCAAAATCTGAAACTCCGGGAGTGGAACAACCATCATTAGTGAGTACTTAATAATAAATCTCTAATTAATACAAGTAAAGTACTCTAATACTACCTCCTCCCGCTCCCCCTCCCCAAAAAATGGCCGGCGGGGGTGTAGAACCAAACTAGAAATTAATTAGACGAGAAAAGAAAGTCAAATCAAATGGGGACCGGATTTTCCTATTCATCAGGCACAAGATTAACGTGTATGGTAGTATAAAAACAAACGCAGGCTCCAGTTCGCTGTCTCATCGGCCTGGCTAAATAATTTCCCAAATCCATTTTTGGCGGAGAGGAGCAGTCAAATTCATTGCACTCTTTCGAACGAGGCGAGAGAGGTGTAGAGACCGAAATAAGGGCGGACAGAATTCGATCAATCAAGAGATGATAAGAGTGGGGATGATGGTGGAGCTTCTGCAGGAATACAAGAGTTTGGTAATGGCAACTCTGAGAGAGCAGATGTCTCTTCCCACTCCCAGGCCGCCTTCTTTTCTGTTCCTCGGAACCCTTCCCTCTGCCTCAACCGCCATCCTCCGCCGCCACCACGACTCCGACTCCTCTACTTTCTTCGTCTATTTCTAGCCACGTTCAATTATTCTTCCTTCTCTTCTCATCACGGAGCGGTGTCCATGACGCATCGAATTTTTGTTTTTCCGGCACCAGTTTATTCTTGTCCTACTCTCACGAGTTATTACAGCAAATAGCAGTTGTGGTTTGTGTTGGTTATTGATTTATTATTATTATTATTATTATTGAACGACGACGTACTACCAATACGAGTTTTTCTTGATTCTTGCTATTATTATTATTGTTATCATCATCTCCAATTCATCCAAATGTGTTAGACTCTTAGTTGGGGGGGATAAAATCAGTTAAAGGAATCCATAATTTTTGTTTAATTCGAGTTTCTCTTAAAGCAATCCATCTACTTCCTGCACCTGCCTATTTATCCCCCAAAAAACGCGTTGGTTGTTTGCAAAAAGTACACGTACCTTATTATTTTGTGTAAAGCATTTTCAGTTTAATCTTCACTTTCATCATTGCAACACTTCCTTTTTAGTATTTTATATATATCTTCCCCTTCAGTTTCTTCACACCTCTGTCATCCTAAATAAAATCACAAAACCATAAAATTTGCCACTCACTGAAAATTTTTGAAGAAAAAATACACACTACTAATTGAAATTGTTGTCGAAGGTTGGTTGAACAGCGATGCTATGCTGTGTGACATGAAACGTGGGTTCATACTCAAACTAGATTGTTTATAGTCTCGAAATTGAATTTTGAGTATCGATTTTTGTTTTCTATACAAAATGTTTCCACAAAAAATTTTATAATTGTTCTAGACATATAATGGCCCTTAATTTCGCAAGCCAGTTATTTGCTAGGCTTTATCAATAGAAAAATGCTATAGTAAATGACTTAAACAAATTAAAGAATAAGCTACTTCCTTGATTTTAGTGATTCCCATATTTGTGCTCTATCACTTAATAATGTCAGATAAGTTACCTCCTTGATTTTAAGAATTCCATGTTTGTGTCTATGGCGTCTCGAAGGATTCCATGTTTGTGTCTATAGCGTCGTAATATTGTGATTTACAATGGTTGTTTGTAGAAATTCTCATATTTGTGTCTATGACGTCTTGATTTTAAGGATTCCATATTTGTGTATATAGCGTAGTAATGTCGTGATTTACAATCACTGCTTGTAGGGATTTTCATGTTTGTTTCTATTATTTAGTGACATCATCATTTACCGTCGCTATTTTTTATAGCCGCAATGTCATAATTTACCTTTTTATAGGTGGACTCTGCTAATATGGGTTGAGTCAAAACTTGTTCACTAAAATCCTATTTGATAATTCAATTTAACATTTAAATTTAATATATTCAAATCTTAATTATTTAAACGCATTTGATAACTAAAAATCAAACATTTAAATTCATTAAGTGGCACTGAATTTTCTAGATAAAATTTGCTCCTAAAAATAAAGCCCATGCTTGATAACCAATTCATCATTTAAAATTAATGGAATCAAATTTTAACATATTCAGACCGTTTGACAATCAAAAATTGAACATTCGAATTAATTAAGTGACACTGGATTTTCTAGACAAAAGTTACTCCTAAAATTAAGTGATAAACTATTCACTTATTATTGAATGCGATATGTACTCAAATGTATTAGATTTAATACTTAACAATTCAATAATTTAATGGATTCAAACTTCAGTTTTCAAATTTCAATTTTATCAAATACATCCTAAGTTATGAGTTGTTCACTTATTATTTAATGTGATATATATTCAAATATATCAAATTTAATACTTAACAAGTTAATAATTTAAGGGATTTAAATTTCAAATTTTAGATTTCAATTATATTAAACGCACCCTAAAGTTTGTTATATTTAAAAAATGGCGTTTCTAAAGGATGATAAGAAAATCTAAGTTCACGTCTCTTTTAACTAATTGGTAGTTGAGGAGTTTTGCTTCCGAGTTATAATTTAGATTGCATGCTCAATTTATGACTAATATTTTCTTTTGGTATTTCCAGACATGTCATTGGATTATGTACTATATTTTCTGTTTCGTAAGCCTACCTGTCAACTTGCAAGTTGAAGAGTACGCTGAGATCATAATCCGAACAGAGCATCGGCGTGTGCTCTCGAACTGACCTGCAATGAGCCGAACAACAGGATTGGCTCTCCATTGCGACTCCGACGCTCAAATCAGTTAGGAAGTACGTGGGGATAGAGAAAGTAATAGTATTATGTAGCGTAGAGTACCTTGTTGGATTCCCTCCATTCCTTATTTATAGAACTGCTAGGGATAGCCTCTAAGGAGTCCAAAGTTATCCCCCTACCCACAGTAGTTATTCCATTAGAATATGAGTCCTACTGTGTTATTAGAAGCGGAGTCCTCTTGGACTCTAACCCTAACCTTATCTCAAAAAATGAGGAATCCCTTATCAGTTGTCTGCCGGATCGATCACCCAAGATCTTTGGTCTCTACTCAAACCCGATGAAAAAAATGGAATCACTTCTTATGGACTCGTTGAGAACGATTCAGATCTAGTTCATGGCCTATTAGAAGTAGAAGGCGCTCTGGTGGGATCTTCACGAACAGAAAAATATTGCAGTCAGTTTGATAATGATCGAGTGACATTGCTTCTTTGGGCCGAATCGAGGAATCCCTTAGATATGATGCAGAGCGGATCTTGTTCTATCCTTGATCAAAGATTTCTCTATGAAAAATATGAATCGGAGTTTGAAGAGGGAGGAGGAAGGAGCCCGTGACCCCCAACAG